AAATTTAACTGAAATTTTTAATCATGGATTTAATTCAAAGATGGTGTCAAATGATAGTTTATAAAAATCTAAGATAGGAATGTAAAATCGGTTTTCCTCTAAAATTAACCGTTCAGGTTCTACAGCCTGTCAAATTTGCAAAAAGTCAATTTGCAATTGTCAATATTTCCAAAACAGTTGAACTTAGGTATAGGGTATATCACATGAAATCTGCTCAGAATTTTACGTAGAATCCAAATATGCAATTTAATATGGGGTGTTCCATTTAAAATAGTGATGTTGCCACCAGTTTAGAGTAGAAGCGGCAGCACCGCATGGTCAAAAATATTTTTAAAGTGTAGATCATGGTCGTTTATCCCGGTTGCCAAATTTTCAAAATGATCCGCTTTTTAGTTCTCCATAAACGTCACCCTGTATATTAAACTATGAAATAAAAAAATAAATTCCCATAGAACATTAAACACATTAAAACGATAGATACTTAATCTACAAACAATATTATATCGGAATTTCAAAAAAAAAAAACCAATAGAAGATTGAAATGAATGAAATACAATCTTTATTCCGAATAGTGCAGAATTTTTAATTTAAATTATGACATTTATATTTAGATGGATCACGTTTATGAGAACTTATACCTGTATGTACAGGTGAACTATTTTTACCTTTAATCGCTATGGAAAAGCATGTGTAACGGCGTATAAATGTTATACTCCGGCGGAGTATAACACCTATATGCCGCCTCTATGTATGGCGCTGGAGCTGAAAGTCATTAAAGTGACACTTATACCTTGTCAAAATGATCACAAAAATTACTATTATATGACGTTTGAAAATAAAGAAAAATATTGCTAAGACATACCTACGTTTAAAAAAACCGTACCTAGCAATCTTTAATTGGTATTTTTTTGGAGACCCGATACCTCTGAAAATTAATCACTAACTTAACATCAATATATTTTTTCATATGAAAATATTAAATTATGTATACAGGGTGATCTACGTTTTGAATTGGCGCTAGAGATATCCACTTAACCTACTCTACATAAGCTTTAACGCATTTTTTTGATAGATGGCGCACTGTTCGCATTACTGTCGAGCATTTCAAATTTGTTTATTCTGGACTCTGGGACATACACGTTTGCTCAATTTTTAAATTAATTGAGGTTTTGTTAATTAGTAGTACAGGAATCGAAAAAAAGGATATCTTTCTTTCTTCCATTTGACAATCCAGGACCTGTGAAAAAATTCAATATGGCGTGCTGGGTCATCAGGCAGATGTAATTTTTGACGTGTTTTTGTTTATAAGCAACGTTTTATTGTTTCTGTTTTTGTTTGTTTTCATTTGTTTTTTCTTTAAATTGCGGTTTGAAATTGATATGAAACATCTATTTTCTAGAAAATTCGTATTTTAGAATGGTGAGTCCTTATATTAAGAAGTTATTAGTGCAAAATTCCAAAAGTTTGGAATTTGGCAAGAAATATGCTAAAATCCCAACAGTTTAGTAAAAGTTTGGGTGCCGGTAGGTACACTTCACGGACACACGAAATTGGCGTTTTTCTGAATTTCATCAGAAAGAGAGTACTTCAAGTAGTTCATTAAAAAAATAAAAAATGCGGATTATCCAGTATTCAAAAAAAAAGCAACCTAAATTGTTGAAAATGTGATATTCGTGATGCTGTCGCTTCATTCGCTGGATCTCAAAGAGTATTAATATCCTCGAAAACTTAAATCCACGAAAAACCAGAAAAACCCTTTTTTTAAATAGGGGCTGGTGCACTACAAGTACCTCGATATTTGCAAAAATTTCGAAATTCAAAAAATGAGGAGTGCGTGTATAGTATAGTTTAAAAGCCAAAAATCTGAGGATCATGTACTTTTTTTTTGTTGAAAACTAACTAACCCAAACCAAACCAAACAGCTGGGCACGTGGTCGTAATAAATGCTAGTATGTTGGCATTTTAAACGAAACAGAGTAAATCCAAACTAACTGGAACTAACCTGTCATTTCAATAATCATTTAGAAAGAAAAAAACCCTAAGAAAAAATAAAAACTTGAGAAAAAGGTTACAGTTTAGTAAAGGTCCTTCACACAAATATCATGCTTCTTTTTTAGTTTGATCCCAAATTATTATTTTATGATCAAAAATGTTGGCGCAAATAACTAGGTATAAATTGGATTTTACAAATATTGAGTGAATCCTCTTCTCGACCTTTGACACAGATCAATATATAATATCTATTCTTATCAGCCTAATATCACAATCGCTCTGGATAGCAGATAAAAATTCAATAAACATGAGAAGCATCATGTGGAAGATATTCGAACTGAAAGAAGAGCTAAGTGTTCAAACCATTTTCCGAAAAAAACATTATTGAGTAATGATAACGTGTACAATACCTATTTAACTATTGAAATTTGTACACTCTAACCAACAGTAACTACTATGCCGTATTGAAACGGATCAAAAACATGCAAACCAACCCATCTTTGTACTGAGTGTTAGTCCCAGTAAACTATTTTGAGATAAAACTTAACTGTCTATAAAGAAAAATGTCTAGTTTTGAGGTACTTATAGTGCACCAGAACCTTTAAATACCTTGAAATTTAAATAATTTATGAGTTTTCCATTGCTAGCTCCTCTCGCCAAATCTCCAAAAAAAGATCCCGTAAATCCACAAAAACGTGAAAAACCCTTTTTTAAACAAACACCTTGAAATTTAAATTATTTTTTTTTTTCTTAGCTCGCTCCTTGTTTCACGAAAAAAATGTACAAAGAATATAGGTAGTTTAACGTGAACAAGCATCAACTCAACACAGAGAGGAAATAATTGATTTCTCAAAAACTACTGGATAGTCCGCATTTTTTTTTTTTTTCAATACTCTATAGAAGACCCTTTTTCTCATAAAATTTAAAATTTTATAAAATTCGTGTGTCCGTAAAGTGTACCGGAACCAAGGTTTGTCGAAAGTGAATGGAATCCTTTTGGCGTCATATCATATTTAAGCCGCCCATTGAGCTCTATTACAACCAAACAAATGAATAATTATGACGTATTTGCGCAATAAAATTTTCACGTTTTCATATTCAGAAATTTTTTTACAATGCAAAGGAACATCAATTTTTCACGCAATTGATTTCAACTATTCTAAAGTCTGATAAATTTCTCCGAAAAATGGAAACAGCAAGGGAACAGCTTATTTCCGCAGGAAAATTTTTGTATTTTTATATTCAGAAAAACGTTAAAAATGCGAAGCAAACAATTTTTTCAATGTAACTGATTTCAGCTATTCTAAAGTCCGGAAAATGGAAATGAAGCATTTCCGCAGGAAAATTTATGTAATTCTAATAAAAGGACGACTTTCTGAAAACAACTGTAACAACATCTATTAGATACGTCATTTCTGCTAAACCAAAGTTGAGCCCCCAATTTTTTTTTCCCGCATTTTTTTTTCCCGACTTTCTTTTTCCCCGACATAAATAAACTGGTTTCTTTCAATTATTTTTTTGTTAAATGCGATTGTAGAAAAAATCGTGTGTGTATTACGAGCGCAAAGTGGTACTTTGTCAATCTCAAGATATTGCCGCGCTCCGCTCACTTTGCGCTCTTAATACACAAATAGCTATTCTTTAATTGGTTCACAAACAGCAAAAAAATATTTTTCCTACGAGCGTGCGCAAAGTAGTACTTTTCCGCACGCATTTCCGGGCTCAAAGTTACACTTTTCCGCACTCAGTGCGGATACAGGCCTTATCCGCACTGAGTGCCGAAAAGTAATTATAATTGTCAAGCAACAATAAGTGCACCTGTCGACTTTGACACATGATGACAAATTTTTCCTCTATTTCTATATCAGCCAACATCTATACAAACACCAATTATAAATTAACTTTGACACATCAGATTTGTTCTCTATTTATATGCAAAAATCTACAAACTTTCTCATCAAATTTAAACGCTTTAAGATGAACAGCTCTGACGAGGATTTTCTGTTATTTTTTTTTGTTATGTAATTTTTTGATAAATGCATAGGTTCCCTTCAAGTTAATAAAAAACAAATTATCGTTTTTTTTTTTTTTAATTTTTGTTATTACCTACCTGATATGAAGCTCGAAGGAAAAATTTTGTTCCTAACACGTGCGCAAAGTGTCTTTTCCGCACGCAAACACGTATTCGAACTCCGCTTCGCGTCGTTCGTATAACTGTGTTTGCGTGCGGAAAAGTAACACTTTGCGCACTTGTTAAGAAAATAACTATTTTTCTACCCGCAAAAATATGTAAACACACAGGCTGGAACATGCTCACGCACTCGGCCACGTTAATTGTCCTGACGCGGGCGATCTTTATCTATGCGTGGAGCCGCTGGCGGCCCGGCTTCGTCACAGAATATCGTCGACAGCAAGTATACGTACTTACGCATCTGTATTAGTGATATGTGTACGTACAATAAGTTTCGCTTATGCAGATATAAGTTTTTTCCGTTAATTTTTTGCTGTAATTAGCTTTGTTTTGGTTTCACTCAGAACTAGTTCGGAATCATCCTGCACATGCGCATATTACAAAACGCGTTTTGGTTTTTTCAGAATCGTAATCGAACTGTGTTGACAGTGTTTTGGTTTATCTAGAACTTTTTGAGAACAATTCTGGGATTGCTCTAGAACGGTTCTCTCAGTTCTTGCTCTGAAGGAGGAACTGTTTTAGAATTTTGTGTTTTGGTTTTTTTGGTTCCGTATTGGTTCAGAACTAGTATTAGAGCAGTCCTCTATTATTTTTTGTGCGCAAGCAGTTCTGAGCAATTCCAGAACCGTTCCAAGTTTCGAACCAAAACAAAGCTATTGTAACCCTCCTAAAACCCCCCTGTCGTGTTGGTGCGCCGGCAGACGTTCATATTACTATCATATACTACACCCATAACACATACAAAAAGAATGAAGCTTGCGGAAATGGTACAATAAAATATGTTGTTAACTCCCAGACTATAAATAATCACCTGCATAAATATTATAAAACTACATATTTTTGCTTAATCAGGTACCCATTCATAAGAAAATGAAAAACATAATCCATTTTGTATATTATTTTATTTTATGTGATACAATAAAAATAAAAGGAAAACTCTAAAGAACCTATAATAAAACCACTAAAACCAAAAATATGTGTTCGGATTTAGTGGCACTTTTTCCATTTAAAAAATAAACCTAAATAATATCAAAAACAATATAACAGAAAAAAAAAGATCATCATCAAAACATAATACAAATATAATTATAGTCCACTCCACCGACTAAAAAAAAAAATAATAGATTTCAACGAATCGATAAATATGTATAGTTAAACTTTATACTTAAATATTTAAAATAAAATAAACCTATATTTAATTAATAGTGAACAAAAAAAAAAATGTTACAAGCTATAAGTAAAAAATTTTCACATTTACTTAGTCTAAAAATACTTTATAAAATTCAGGTGGAAAAAGCTTAAACATTTCCCTTGTTTTATTTTGTATCAACTACAAATATACATTCCACTTGAATTCCATAAAATTAGTTGCCTAGTATGATATGTGACTAAGCATAAGATGTGTAATTACAATGGCACATTTAAACTAATGACTAATTTATCTCAAATAAAATATTTGTGACAAAGTTTTTTCGATTTGTTTTTGGCACAGTTTTTGCATCCAAGAAAAACAGCATTTATCGACCTTGTGTGATTGTAGGTCGTCGATTATAAAAAATAAATAAATAAATAATAAATTGGGGATCAAAAGGCAAACGATTATTTGTATAGTAATATTCCTATAGCTGGAGTAAATAAATAAATAAATAAATATCACTGGAGCTTAGGAAGAGTTTATTTACAAATCGGATTCTCCGTAGAGAGCTGTCGAGAAGGACATGTAATCTAAAGCACCAGGTACTCCACCAGGTCCTTTGAAGGGTGGCATACGTTGTATACAGTATTCAGCTTGATCGGGTGGAAGTTCTCTTCTGAGTTCATCAGGAAGGATGTAGGGCTAGAATTGATACTCAACAATAAGACCTTTATCAGATTACATTGAAAGTTCTTTTACCTTATCAGCTGCAAGAATACGGAAACTATCAATAACTTGTTCAGCAGTATCAGTATCGGTACTTTCTCTAGTCATAAAGTCCAAAAATGCGTCAAAGTGTACGTAACCAGTACTATTAGGATCAACAATGGCCAAAATTCTTTGGAAATCGATATCTCCTTGTCTATCTTTACCGATAGAATATCCGAGAGAAATTAGGCAAGATTTGAGTTCATCAGGAGCGAGACGTCCTGTTCTGTTTTTATCAAAGTGATTGAAGGAAGATCTGAATTCGTTGAGTTGTTCTTGAGTGATTCCTTTTGAGTCTCTTGTAAGGATTTGGTTTTCTACTTCGTTAATGTTGCGGTTGATTGAGGTCAAAAGCTGTTCCCATCCAACTCGGAGCGTTTCCATAGTGTATTGCGTATATCTATAAAAACAATAATGAAAAAAATTCACTCCTCATATAAAATTACATATACCTGTTTTCGAAAATCATGCTCTCTTGTACAGCTTGATGGATCTTTTCCAATTCTTCGATATGAGGTTTGTAGGCGTAAACGCCTTGTTCGTACTCTTTCAATCTGTGCAGTTGGTCTTCCAGGGTACCGTGAAGTCCCATTCCGATGGCGGTTACTGCGTCTAATTGACGTTCGATCCATGGTCCTACGGCGTTTGCTTTTTCAGCAAATTGTCTTCTGAGCATTTCGTTGTCTGTGGTTTTTGGTTAAGGAATAACTCAAAATTTATGTACTTTTTTGAAATATCCCTATGGAATTGCCACATACAAAATGAAAATTGAGACAGAAGATTAGATGTTGAGCAAGCCATGTTCAAATTTTGACTATTACCGGCTTTTGATTGGCTCTAGGAAGGTTTTCCAAAGAATCAAGAGCCGGTTAAAGTGCAAATGAGCCGAAATTTCCAGGGATTGTAGTCAAAGTTTTCCAAAATCTAAATCATAATCACTAAAACGATGAAATTTCATTTTTTCAGATTTTATATCCTAATTGTGAATCAACATCCCCCGAACTCCATACACTAAATTATTCTTAGATCTGAAGCTGAAATCTATAAAAAAGGGCACTCAGAAAAATTGAAAAATTGATAAACCACCCCAAATTGCTTAACACGATTTTATCTCAGGAACTATAAATGCAAATGAGGTGAAATTTTCATGGATTGTAGTTCCTTAATTGGGATAAATTTCAGTGAAAGTTTCAGCTTTCTATCTATAATGGAAAAAAAGTTATGACCTTTCAAAGTTTTCCAAAATCTAAATCATAAGGTACTAAAACGATGAAATTTCAAAAAAAAATTGTCGAGATTTTGTATCCTAATGGACAACCAACATCTCCCAAACTCCATACACTAAATTATTCTCAGATTTGAAGCCAAAATTTACGAAAAAAGGCACTCAGAAAAATTGATAAATCACCCCAAATTGCTTAACACGATTTTATCTCAGGAACTATAAGTGCAAATGAGCTGAAATTTTCAGGGATTGTAGTCCCTTCATTGGGATAAAATTCAGTGAAAGTTTCAGCTTTCTATCTACAATAGAAAAAAAGTTATGACCTTTCAAAGTTTTCCAAAATTTAAATCATAAGGTTCTTACTAAAACAATGAAATTTCAATTTTTTTTTTGTTGAGATTTTGGTATATTTGGTATATTTTCTCTGACAGGAATTTCATAGTTAGTGGAAATCACATGACAATACACAGATGAACTACCATTAAAGTAAAATGGACATGAAAGAATCAGAAATTGTCTACCTTGACAAAATTAGAGAAAATCAATGGAAATCATATGGAATAAAGAGTCATCTACTAATGAAAATGGACGAATATTATTATTGTCATGAGAATCGATGGGAAATTAATAGAAATCATACAAGAATCAGTGCAAATCATATTGGAATCAGTAGAACATTTTTTTTCAATCATACTTGTTTACGCAATAGTATTTGAAATTCAGTAAACTGGACTGCGACTGGAAAATCGCGCAAACAAATAAAAATAGAAATGAAAATGATACCATAGGGTTGTCGAAACACACAAAAAATATTTCTACTAACCTAGATTTTCTTATAAGCTGTGTGTATGTACGGGGATTCCCTGAAAAACGGTTCTCCACAACCACCAACGTATCAGCATCAACGTAAGGTATTCAAGGTCCCTTTTTAATGGCACAAAACATAGACTTTTTGAACGTGAAACACGGAACCAGTAAAAAGGCAACGTGCATATATATATTATCTAGTGTGTAAATCCAAATCTTCAACGGCTGTCTGCCTCAGTCGTCGCAGGGTCGTAGAAAATATACTCCTGTGTGTTTTACGTGAAATTGACATTTAAGTGATTCTTTAATAAGAATGAGAGGTTAACAATACTCATAAGCATATTTGATGAAGAATTCAAATAGAACTTATCATAACTTAATCTGTAAAATTTATAATTAACATCAAAAAGGATACTTTGTTGTTTTCGTAGTTCCCCTTGCAATGTGGCATCCCTTTGAGGTACCAGTTGTCTCACGTCTCCCCATTTTCTTGTCAAATCCTACAAATCATATTCATTAATTTTATTTCTGAATGGTTAAAATTCCCAGTAAAACAAGAAACAATTACCTCCAAATTACCACCAAATCCTTCCTTGTTACAAGCATGAGAGCAAAAGAAAATTACAATTTTTTTTCAAATCTTTTCATGAATACAACAAAGATGAAAGGTTTGATGTTGTGCGGATGGATGATAATGCATTAAAAAAGAAAAAAACATTCTTACATGAGCAGTTAGAGTAGTATAAGGATTCTCCAAACCTCCAGGCACTTGATGTTGCTTAACAATACTTTCAACCTCTCTAACCAAACCGACAATACTTTGATATTCCTTGTCGGCTTCGCCTAAAGTAGCCTTGAAATGTGAATGAGCATCGATCAACCCTTGAATTTCTTCTACAGTGTGCACAATGAAAATGTCCACCAAGTCTTCTCGGGTACCGTCCAGCCAGTTGTTGAACGGTGCAGCTCTTTTGGCGAATTCCAAGTGGAGGATGTCGATCTTCTCCATTATACGTTCGGCATCGTCCAGAGCTTGTCTTCTTCTTTGGGTTAAAGCACCGAGACGATCCCATTGGTCACAGATACGTTGACAACGTGCGTTTACGCTTACACTATCGTGATAATCCAAAGTACTGGAATAAATAGAAAAGAAAATGAAGAGTTTAATATGTCATTGGTTTAATCTAATACAGGAACAGTCAAGTGGAATTCGTTTTATACAGGTATTTTCTAAAATTAGAATAGAATTATTGCATTGTTCACAGGTGCTCATCTTATATAACTTTTGTTGCAAAAACTAGTTTTTGGCCAACAAAACACAACTTGTTCAATGACTAACAAATTCAGTTTGTGTCAAACAATTCCACCTTTATGTACACATAAAATAAAAGTTACATATTTTTGGCTCAATCTATTTGTTTTTCTAGGTTTGGCAAGGAAGTGATAAAATTGACGTCATCATATCCGCTCAAATTTCTTTACTTACTTTAATTCTTGAGCAATTGCAGCAATTTGTTCGACACGATCCTGATGAGCGGCAAGATCGCTTTCGAAAGCTTCGTGTTTCTTTTTCAAAGCCTTGAGTTCGTTGAGCCTGCAATTGCGGAAATCTTGACTCTGGAGCATTTCCTCTTTGCCTCTGGTCCATTCTTCGTGAGCGTCGGCTTTGCGTCTGAACTTTTCGGCTAAATGTTCCAGACGTTCCAGGCGCATCATTTCGGCTAGAAGCCATTCTTCGAAGGCTTTTTCGGCACCTTCCAAACCTTTCCAGGCGTTCGAGATGTCCTACAACAATTAATTGTTTTTATTGGGTAATAGTAATTGTAGATTTACTTACAGACACCATTTTTCCTTCAGTAGGCATATAAGCCGGTCGATTGGATAATCTCAACTTGGTTTGCAAAGTGTTGAAGTTGGTTTCCAGTTTGGCTTTTTGCTCGACACGGGGTGGTTTGTGTTTGCGCCTATAGGTGCGGTACTCTTCCAACTTCTTTTGGACTCCGGCTAAGGAGTTGTCGGTTTGTCTCGAGTTTAACCAGGGCATGGTACGTCTGATCCATTCTAGCAACTAATGAAATAAGGTTAATTTTTCGTTTCTTTTATAATGCATATCTTGCTTGAGTCACCATAATACCTATCCCTGCAACGTATGATAATTGGATATTAAAATATGCAATGAATATGCAATGAACATGCAATATCCTTCAAGAATATCTGATGAATATTTCATGCATATTCATTAGATATTCACAGAAGAACCTCCCTAGTGTAATTCCTCAAAATTGACGCTCAACTATATCTAGAAGTTGATATGAAACTCACAACTAAAGTTATGATTTTTTTCTCTCATTGATGCTTGAAAAAATCGGAATATTTATGTAAAATCACCTATGAGGGTTTCTGAAAAATACTTTAAATCCTCATAGCGGTTTGAAACTTTCAGGATTTATTGAATTATGGAGTCTTTTTACCATCTGAAATAATCTGGAAGTTGATGTGGCACTCACACTATAGTTATGAATTTTATTTCTCATTAATGTTTAAAAAAAACCATAAAATTCTTTTGAAATCACATATCAGGGTTCCTGAAAAATACTTTGAGCCAACATATCGACTTGAAACTTGCAGGATTTATGAATTGACGATTTCCATCATATAAAACAAGCTGGAAGCGTTATACTTTGAGCCATCGTACTGACTTGAAACTTTCAAAATTTGTTAATTGAAGTTTTTTCATTGTCTCAAACAAGCTGGAAGTTGATATGAAATTCACAACTGAAGTTATGAATTTTATCCCTCATTGATGCTTGAAAAAATCAGAAAATTCTTATAAAACCAACTATGAGGGTTCCTGAAAAATACTTTGAGCCAGCGTACCGACTTGAAACTTTCAGATTTTGTTAATCGAAGTTTTTTCATTGTCTTAAACAAGCTGGAAGTTGATATGAAACTCACAACTGGAGTTATGAATTTTATCTTTCATTGATGTTTGAAAAAATCAGAAAATACCTGTAAAATCAACTATGAGGGCTCCTGAAAAATACTTTGAGCCATCATATCGACTTGAAACTTTCAGAATTCATCAATTGACAGTTTTTCATCATCCAAAACAAGCCGGAGCTTGATATGAAACTCACAACTAAAATTATGATTTTTTTATCTCACTGATGCTTGAAAAAATCAGAAAATTCTTATAAAATCAACTATGAGGGTTCCTGAAAAATACTTTGAGCCAACATATCGACTTGAAACTTGCAGGATTTATGAATTGACGATTTCCATCATATAAAACAAGCTGGAAGCGTTATACTTAGAGCCATCGTACTGACTTGAAACTTTCAAAATTTGTTAATTGAAGTTTTTTCATTGTCTCAAACAAACTGGAAGTTGATATGAAATTCACAACTGAAGTTATGAATTTTATCCCTTATTGACGCTTGAAAAAATCAGAAAATTCTTATAAAACCAACTATGAGGGTTCCTGAAAAATACTTTGAGCCAGCGTACCAACTTGAAACTTTCAGATTTTGTTAATCGAAGTTTTTTCATTGTCTTAAACAAGCTGGAAGTTGATATGAAACTCACAACTGGAGTTATGAATTTTATCTTTCATTGATGTTTGAAAAAATCAGAAAATACCTGTAAAATCAACTATGAGGGCTCCTGAAAAATACTTTGAGCCATCATATCGACTTGAAACTTTCAGAATTCATCAATTGACAGTTTTTCATCATCCAAAACAAGCCGGAGCTTGATATGAAACTCACAACTAAAATTATGATTTTTTTATCTCACTGATGCTTGAAAAAATCAGAAAATTCTTATAAAATCAACTATGAGGGTTCCTGAAAAATACTTTGAGCCATCGTACAGACTTGAAACTTTCAGAATTTGTTAACTGAAGTTTTTTCATTGTCTCAAACAAGCTGGAAGTTGATAGGAAACTCACAACTGGAGTTATGAATTTTATCTCTCATTGATGCTTGAAAAAATCAGAAAATACCTGTAAAATCAACTATGAGGGTTCCTGAAAAATACTTTGAGCCATCATATCGACTTGAAACTTTCAGAATTCATCAATTGACAGTTTTTCATCATCCAAAACAAGCCGGAGCTTGATATGAAACTCACAACTAAAATTATGATTTTTTTATCTCACTGATGCTTGAAAAAATCAGAAAATTCTTATAAAATCAACTATGAGGGTTCCTGAAAAATACTTTGAGCCATCGTACCGACTTGAAACTTTCAGAATTTGTTAATTGAAGTTTTTTCATTGTCTCAAACAAGCTGGAAGTTAACATGAAACTCACAACTGAAGTTATGAATTTTATCTCTCATTGATGCTTGAAAAAATCAGAAAATTCCTGTAAAATCACCTATGAGGGTTCCTGAAAAATACTTCGAGCCGTCATATCGATTTAAAACTTTCAGGATTCATCAACTGACAGTTGTTTATCATCCAAAACAAGCCGGAGCTTGATATGAAACTCACTTATAATTTTTTTATCTCATTGATGCTTGAAAAAATCAGAAAATTCCTATAACATTAACTATGAGGGCTCCTGAAAAATACTTTGAGCCATCATATCGACTTGAAACTTTCAGAATTCATCAATTGACAGTTTTACATCATCCAAAACAAGCCGGAGCTTGATATGAAACTCACAACTAAAATTATGATTTTTTTTATCTCACTGATGCTTGAAAAAATCAGAAAATTCTTATAAAATCAACTATGAGGGTTCCTGAAAAATACTTTGAGCCATCGTACCGACTTGAAACTTTCAGAATTTGTTAACTGAAGTTTTTTCATTGTCTCAAACAAGCTGGAAGTTGATAGGAAACTCACAACTGGAGTTATGAATTTTATCTCTCATTGATGCTTGAAAAAATCAGAAAATACCTGTAAAATCAACTATGAGGGTTCCTGAAAAATACTTTGAGCCATCATATCGACTTGAAACTTTCAGAATTCATCAATTGACAGTTTTTCATCATCCAAAACAAGCCGGAGCTTGATATGAAACTCACAACTAAAATTATGATTTTTTTATCTCATTGATGCTTGAAAAAATCAGAAAATTCCCATAAAATCAACTATGAGAGTTCCTGAAAAATACTTTGAGCCCTCGTACCGACTTGAAACTTTCAGAATTTGTTAATTGAAGTTTTTTCATTGTCTCAAACAAGCTGGAAGTTGATGTGAAACTCACAACTGGAGTTATGAATTTTATCTCTCATTGATGCTTGAAAAAATCAGAAAATACCTGTAAAATCACCTATGAGGGTTCCTGAAACATACTTTGAGCCATCATATCGACTTGAACTTTTCAGGATTCATCAATTGACAGTTTTTCATGATCCAAAACAAGCTGGAGCTTGATATGAAAGTTACAACTAAAATTATGATTTTTTTATCTCATTGATGCTTGAAAAAATCATGAAATTCTTTTGAAATCACATATCAGGCTTCCTGAAAAATACTTTGAGCCAACATATCGACTTGAAACTTTCAGGATTTATTAATTGACGATTTTCCATCATATAAAACAATCTGGAAGTTGATATGAAACTTACAACTGAAGTTAATTTTATCTCTCATTGATGCTTGAAAAAATCAGAAAATTCCTGTAAAATCACCTATGAGGGTTCCTGAAAAATACTTTAAGCCATCATATCGACTTGAAACTTTCAGTATTCATCAATTGACAGTTTTTTATCATCCAAAACAAGCCTTGATATGAAACTCACAACTAACATTATGATTTTTTTATCTCATTGATGCTTGAAAAAATCATAAAATTCCTATAAAACCAACTATGAGGGTTCCTGAAAAATACTTTGAGCCATCGTACCGACTTGAAACTTTCAGAATTTGTTAATTGAAGTTTTTTCATTGTCTCAAACAAGCTGGAAGTTAACATGAAACTCACAACTGAAGTTATGAATTTTATCTCTCATTGATGCTTGAAAAAATCAGAAAATTCCTGTAAAATCACCTATGAGGGTTCCTGAAAAATACTTCGAGCCGTCATATCGATTTAAAACTTTCAGGATTCATCAACTGACAGTTGTTTATCATCCAAAACAAGCCGGAGCTTGATATGAAACTCACTTATAATTTTTTTATCTCATTGATGCTTGAAAAAATCAGAAAATTCCTATAACATTAACTATGAGGGCTCCTGAAAAATACTTTGAGCCATCATATCGACTTGAAACTTTCAGAATTCATCAATTGACAGTTTTACATCATCCAAAACAAGCCGGAGCTTGATATGAAACTCACAACTAAAATTATGATTTTTTTTATCTCACTGATGCTTGAAAAAATCAGAAAATTCTTATAAAATCAACTATGAGGGTTCCTGAAAAATACTTTGAGCCATCGTACCGACTTGAAACTTTCAGAATTTGTTAACTGAAGTTTTTTCATTGTCTCAAACAAGCTGGAAGTTGATAGGAAACTCACAACTGGAGTTATGAATTTTATCTCTCATTGATGCTTGAAAAAATCAGAAAATACCTGTAAAATCAACTATGAGGGTTCCTGAAAAATACTTTGAGCCATCATATCGACTTGAAACTTTCAGAATTCATCAATTGACAGTTTTTCATCATCCAAAACAAGCCGGAGCTTGATATGAAACTCACAACTAAAATTATGATTTTTTTATCTCACTGATGCTTGAAAAAATCAGAAAATTCTTATAAAATCAACTATGAGGGTTCCTGAAAAATACTTTGAGCCATCGTACCGACTTGAAACTTTCAGAATTTTTTAACTGAAGTTTTTTCATTGTCTCAAACAAGCTGGAAGTTGATAGGAAACTCACAACTGGAGTTATGAATTTTATCTCTCATTGATGCTTGAAAAAATCAGAAAATACCTGTAAAATCAACTATGAGGGTTCCTGAAAAATACTTTGAGCCATCATATCGACTTGAAACTTTCAGAATTCATCAATTGACAGTTTTTCATCATCCAAAACAAGCCGGAGCTTGATATGAAACTCACAACTAAAATTATGATTTTTTTATCTCATTGATGCTTGAAAAAATCAGAAAATTCCCATAAAATCAACTATGAGAGTTCCTGAAAAATACTTTGAGCCCTCGTACCGACTTGAAACTTTCAGAATTTGTTAATTGAAGTTTTTTCATTGTCTCAAACAAGCTGGAAGTTGATGTGAAACTCACAACTGGAGTTATGAATTTTATCTCTCATTGATGCTTGAAAAAATCAGAAAATACCTGTAAAATCACCTATGAGGGTTCCTGAAACATACTTTGAGCCATCATATCGACTTGAACTTTTCAGGATTCATCAATTGACAGTTTTTCATGATCCAAAACAAGCTGGAGCTTGATATGAAAGTTACAACTAAAATTATGATTTTTTTATCTCATTGATGCTTGAAAAAATCATGAAATTCTTTTGAAATCACATATCAGGCTTCCTGAAAAATACTTTGAGCCAACATATCGACTTGAAACTTTCAGGATTTATTAATTGACGATTTTCCATCATATAAAACAATCTGGAATTTGATATGAAACTTACAACTGAAGTTAATTTTATCTCTCATTGATGCTTGAAAAAATCAGAAAATTCCTGTAAAATCACCTATGAGGGTTCCTGAAAAATACTTTAAGCCATCATATCGACTTGAAACTTTCAGTATTCATCAATTGACAGTTTTTTATCATCCAAAACAAGCCTTGATATGAAACTCACAACTAACATTATGATTTTTTTATCTCATTGATGCTTGAAAAAATCATAAAATTCCTATAAAACCAACTATGAGGGTTCCTGAAAAATACTTTGAGCCATCGTACCGACTTGAAACTTTCAGAATTTGTTAATTGAAGTTTTTTCATTGTCTCAAACAAGCTGGAAGTTAACATGAAACTCACAACTGAAGTTATGAATTTTATCTCTCATTGATGCTTGAAAAAATCAGAAAATTCCTGTAAAATCACCTATGAGGGTTCCTGAAAAATACTTCGAGCCGTCATATCGATTTAAAACTTTCAGGATTCATCAACTGACAGTTGTTTATCATCCAAAACAAGCCGGAGCTTGATATGAAACTCACTTATAATTTTTTTATCTCATTGATGCTTGAAAAAATCAGAAAATTCCTATAACATTAACTATGAGGGCTCCTGAAAAATACTTTGAGCCATCATATCGACTTGAAACTTTCAGAATTCATCAATTGACAGTTTTACATCATCCAAAACAAGCCGGAGCTTGATATGAAACTCACAACTAAAATTATGATTTTTTTTATCTCACTGATGCTTGAAAAAATCAGAAAATTCTTATAAAATCAACTATGAGGGTTCCTGAAAAATACTTTGAGCCATCGTACCGACTTGAAACTTTCAGAATTTGTTAACTGAAGTTTTTTCATTGTCTCAAACAAGCTGGAAGTTGATAGGAAACTCACAACTGGAGTTATGAATTTTATCTCTCATTGATGCTTGAAAAAATCAGAAAATACCTGTAAAATCAACTATGAGGGTTCCTGAAAAATACTTTGAGCCATCATATCGACTTGAAACTTTCAGAATTCATCAATTGACAGTTTTTCATCATCCAAAACAAGCCGGAGCTTGATATGAAACTCACAACTAAAATTATGATTTTTTTATCTCACTGATGCTTGAAAAAATCAGAAAATTCTTATAAAATCAACTATGAGGGTTCCTGAAAAATACTTTGAGCCATCGTACCGACTTGAAACTTTCAGAATTTTTTAACTGAAGTTTTTTCATTATCTCAAACAAGCTGGAAGTTGATAGGAAACTCACAACTGGAGTTATGAATTTTATCTCTCATTGATGCTTGAAAAAATTAGAAAATACCTGTAAAATCAACTATGAGGGTTCCTGAAAAATACTTTGAGCCATCATATCGACTTGAAACTTTCAGAATTCATCAATTGACAGTTTTTCATCATCCAAAACAAGCCGGAGCTTGATATGAAACTCACAACTAAAATTATGATTTTTTTATCTCATTGATGCTTGAAAAAATCAGAAAATTCCCATAAAATCAACTATGAGAGTTCCTGAAAAATACTTTGAGCCCTCGTACCGACTTGAAACTTTCAGAATTTGTTAATTGAAGTTTTTTCATTGTCTCAAACAAGCTGGAAGTTGATGTGAAACTCACAACTGGAGTTATGAATTTTATCTCTCATTGATGCTTGAAAAAATCAGAAAATACCTGTAAAATCACCTATGAGGGTTCCTGAAACATACTTTGAGCCATCATATCGACTTGAACTTTTCAGGATTCATCAATTGACAGTTTTTCATGATCCAAAACAAGCTGGAGCTTGATATGAAAGTTACAACTAAAATTATGATTTTTTTATCTCATTGATGCTTGAAAAAATCATGAAATTCTTTTGAAATCACATATCAGGCTTCCTGAAAAATACTTTGAGCCAACATATCGACTTGAAACTTTCAGGATTTATTAATTGACGATTTTCCATCATATAAAACAATCTGGAAGTTGATATGAAACTTACAACTGAAGTTAATTTTATCTCTCATTGATGCTTGAAAAAATCAGAAAATTCCTGTAAAATCACCTATGAGGGTTCCTGAAAAATACTTTAAGCCATCATATCGACTTGAAACTTTCAGTATTCATCAATTGACAGTTTTTTATCATCCAAAACAAGCCTTGATATGAAACTCACAACTAACATTATGATTTTTTTATCTCATTGATGCTTGAAAAAATCATAAAATTCCTATAAAACCAACTATGAGGGTTCCTGAAAAATACTTTGAGCCATCGTACCGACTTGAAGCTTTCAGAATTTGTCATTTGAAGTTTTTTCAGTGTCTCAAACAAGCTGGAAGTTGATATGAAACCCACAACTGGAATTATAAATTTTATCTCTCATTGATGCTTGAAAAAATCAGAAAATACCTGTAAAATCACCTATAAAGGTTCCTAAAAAATACTTTGAGCCATCATATCGACTTGAAATTTTCCGGATTCATCAATTGATAGTTTTTTATCATCCAAAACAAGCCAGAACTTGATATGAAACTCACAACTAAAGTTATGATTTTTTTATCTCATTGACGCTTGAAAAAATCAGATAATTACTGGAAAATTACTTATGGGGGTTCCTGAAAAATATTTTAAACCATCCTAACGATTTGAAACTTTCAGGATTTATTAATTGGAGGTTTCCCATCATCTGACAGAAGCTGGCAGTTGACATGAAACTTAATACTGAAGCTACGAATTTTATCTTTCATTCAAAAAGTTGAAAATTCTTGTAAAATCACCTATGAAGTTTCTTGAAAAATACATACATCATGACATTTGTAGCAGTTTTAGATAAATATTAATTAATGCTGAAATAAAGTAAATAAATAATTTCTCTTTTATAAATCCGATGATTTGCTTCTGGTTAAACTTAAGTAACAGCAGTACATAATTTCCAAATAAATTCCTGCTTAATAATTTTATGGAATATTTTCAAATGACTTTAGAAACCAAACCAATTAACTACCTATATATATACGATTTTAAAACTACATTTTCCTTTTTCCAGGGAAATTACTTACATCGCTGGCAAGACGTTCGTATTCCTCCATGAGTCTTTCATTTTCTTGATTAACTTTAAGTACCTTGCATATTCTGTTGGCAGCAGTTTCAGCCTAAAAATACACACATAAAACATTATGAATAATTTATATATGTATTATATAATTTTTAGTGTTATACAATTATTAAGCCGAAAAGCTATTTGTGTCTCACATAATGTTGGAATTCATACATAGTTATTAATATACATATATTTTTGATAAAAATAAATAAATTCTGCTTGTATATGTAATTTGATATTAGTAGGTCAATACAAGTCTGTGCAAAAAAAGGACATTATATCACTGTCACGAAATTAAAAATTTCCTAGCTAGGAATGTCGCTTTATGAAAGGGACTTTTACTTTTTAACCATAATTTGTCAGTGTCTTACGAATTTCCAACATTATTTATGTGTAGCAATTAAGGTAAGTTTTATCTTTTAGTACATCTTGCTGGCAGCTATAACTCATACTTATGTAGTTTTTATTTTCATATGAGCAAAACAAATAAGTAATTTTATTTATTTTTGTATATAGGTGAGTACCTAACATATTATTGCAAAAAGATAAAAGTAGGTTTGTTAAAAAAAAAGCACTTTTAGTGATAAAAATAAAGAACTTTTGTATATTTGCTCATTTAAAACACATTAAGGTTTATCAAAAACTCATTAATGAGGTTCAAAAACCTATAATGTTTCATGTTTTGGTCCAGCAAGATGCAACTTTATTTTCTACTGCGTTCTAATTTTATCTAAGTAAGAAAAATATGACTTTTTTTCACCTTTTGAGCACCACAAAAGCAGTGGTAATAAGACGACACATAAGTCATTACGGCTCGTTCGTCTGGCATGGCGGTGTTCTGTAAGTCTGCGTGCAAACAATATTAATAGGACACAACATGCGAAAACACAACTTGTAGATTAATTAGGCACAATAATTCAAAATGCATAAATAAACAAATCGATTTCCCAATTTAAACCAGGAAATGTTGAATAGTATTTATGTACGTAATACTTAAATAAACTTTATTAGGTATTTATAGAGTTTGTTTATAAGATTGTCAAGATTTAAAATAAATAGTTATTATACTCTTACAAGCTGATATTTTGATAGAGTTGTCGAGGCAGAAAATTTCAAAAATAATGGTTTTGTGAGCAAAACTCAGCTATCCTCTGGCTAATAGTAGATGAGTGCTCCCTTCTTATAATATATTTTGACTTTTGCGGACGTGTCGGAGTTACAAGCTGAAATTTTCACAGAATGAAGGTTTTAATATGTTAATTCAAAATCCCAAGGTAATACAAAATCAGAACGGACAAAAGGGCACTATATTTAAAAATTGAGATTATTGCCTGAACATAATACAATATTAATTTATGACTATTTTCATACATTTCGTAATGGTAGAATAATCGATAGAGCGGGTCAAAATTAGTGGAAAACAACCCTGACATTAATTCCAAATGCCCATTTTAAGCAGAAACAAAAATAGAAAGAAAATCCTATTTTTGGCTCTGGAAAATTTTCAAAATCTTGACATGGTCATGAATAATTGCCCATATCTATAGTAAATTTTAAGCAAATTGAAATTCTCCACTCGGCAGTGAAAAAATACATGCATGTTTATCATCGACAAAATATAAATGCAAGTCTGAGCTTGTTGTTTTTGCTAGAATGGAAACGCTTATCAGTTATAAGTAAAAATAACTGTGAAACATGGTACCCCTGTTTGTTTCCACATTAAACATCGGTGGCATGATGATTCACGAATTTTCCCTATTAACCATTACAGCATCCTGTAATAGGATAACATCATGACGTCGAAAAATTTGAGGTTGGCCCGGGTTAAATCCCTGAAATTTTAGACCAAAGGTGTCGCCGATCTAAAGATTTTCCCACGGTATCGAAAAAGGACCCCGCAATATTTAAACGAAAATTGGTTACCCGTGATATTTGGATGAAATTTAAATTTGTTATTGGAAATGCCGTAAGCAAAATTTTTTACCATGGGCGTAACCTTGTATATATGACAGGTGAGACGGTAGTAGCTGTCAAATATTGGAATCTAATATTCAAAAGCAGGGTAACTATGGCAGATTTTGATGAAGCAAGTATCGATTCCCAATGAGTCAACCAAGGAAAATCGAAATATGTCAACCATTTTGACATCTGTCAAAAGCACTCAGATTTTTCAATTTTCAATATTTCATGTTGTGTCATTTGACAGTTTCAACCTATGTAGACTTTCAGTTTAGAAAGGTCGAAACTTGTCATTTGTTTTAGTAACAAAAAAAAAAATTCCAATTTGGCCCTTTTTCATTTGAAGGTAGTTTATTGATGATAAATCATTAAACAAAACTCATAGACATCAAATTTTGACAGCTGTCAGAATCTGACATTAGCTTTAATTGAAGAAAAAAAAAACTGAACTATAGTTTTGTTCCAATTATTTAGGTTATGCTTATTTATTATGAAGCATGAACAAACATACACAGGTTTCAGATTTTGACAACTGTCAAATTTTGATGTCTATGAGCTTTGCTTAATGTTTTATTACCAATAAACTACCTTAAAACAAAAAATAACCAGTCTTGAATCTTTTTTCCTACTAAAATGAATGACAGGTTTTGACAGTTCTGCAATTTTTTTTCCAACTTTTCAACTCAGAATTGACATAAACTAAAACTGTTAAATGACACATCATAAAATATTGAAAAAGTATTGCAGTTTGGCAGGGTTTTGACAAATGTCAAAATGATTGACATTTTTCGATATACCTTGTTCGACTCAGTAGGAATCTTGCTTCATCAAAATCTGCCATAGGTACCCTGCTTTTGAATATGAAATTCCAATATTTGACAGCCGATACCGCCTCAACTGTCATATATACAAGGTTGCCACTCCAAATATCACGGGTAACCAATTTCTGTTTAAATATTTGCGGGGTCCTTCCTTAGGCTCAGGTGCCCCCATAACTGGTGACTTAAGCATATGCCTTGGATATTCCTGTCATATGAAAAGATCTTTATGGCATATGCATCGGATATCTTTATATTCCCATGAAATATGCCATGAATATTCCTGCAATATGTTTGTGCCATCTGGGTATTTCTCAAGCTTTATCTCAATTTTTGTCTATTCCTAACTCTTGAATCTTCAATATTTTCTGAGCTTCTTTAAAGAAAGAAAATTTAGAAAAATAGTCAAAATATGAGAGCCAGGAATAGGAAAACTATGTATTTTTGTCTAACAGTTTTTCTTCAATTTACTTTAAATTTCCTCTTTATTTCTCAATTTCATTGAATCAATTTTTGTCTATTCCTGGCGCTTGAATCTTTATTATCTTCGAAACTCCTTTAAATAAAGAAAATTTAGAAAAACAGACAAAATATGAGAACCAGGAATAGAAAAACTATACGTCTTTTTGTCCAACAAATGTTAAATGCGTGAAATGTCCTCTTCATTTCTCAATTTCTTTGTCTCAATTTTTGTCAATTCCTGGCTTTTGAATCTTCAATATCTTCTGAGCTTGTTCAAATAAAGAAAATTCAGAAAAAAATAGACAAAATATGAGAGCCTAGAATAGAAAAACTATGACTTTTTGTCTTAATTGGCTTCAAAGATCCTCTTTTAGGGAAACTCTTGGGTAATCTTACTGGTAGTCAAAAGAAATCTGGGGAAATAATTATTGGTTTCCTCTAAAACCGGAATCTGGTGTACAAAAACTGACCCCTCAGGGTTAAACCGCAAGGGAAATTTAATGTACAAATTACGAGAAATCAAGAAGAAATTTGAGGAAATCTAAGGTAATCAGGAAAAATTATGAGGAAATCAATGAAAATCTTAAGGATCTCGGACGAAATCTTCAGGAAATTATGGAAAATCTTGAGGAAATCAGTCAATTTCTAGATCCAGCGCATGCGCAGTTTTCAAAAATCTTTCTAATTTGAGATTATGTTATTAGGGAAACTTTTGGGCAATCTTACTGGTAGTCAAAAGAAATCTAGGGAAATAATTAATGGGAAATCTGGTTTACAAACTAGGGGAAATCAAGAGAAAATTTAAGGCAATCGGGGGATGTCAAGGAAATTCTTAAAGAATTCAGGAAAAATTTAAAGGTAATCAATCAATTTCTAGATCTAGCGCATGCACAGTTTTCAAATATCTTTATAATTTGAAGTTATGTTATTATGAAAACTCTTGGGCAATCTTATTTGTATCAGAAAAAAACTGGGGAAATAATCTATGGTTACCCCTCAGGGGTAAACCGCAAAGAAAATCTGGTGTACAAATTAGGGGAAATCAAGAGTAAATTCAAGACAATCAAGGGAAATCGAGGAAATTTTGATGGAATTCGGGGGAAACCTTGGAAAAATAGTGGGAAATCTTGAGGAATTAAATTAATCTCTATAGATCCAGCGCATGGGCAGCATCCGAAAAACTTTAAAATTTCAGGGCAGAGAAATTCTCCACTCGGCAGTGAAAAAATACATGCATGTTTATCATCGACAAAATATAAATGCAAGTCTGAGCTTGTTGTTTTTGCTAGAATGGAAACGCTTATCAGTTATAAGTAAAAATAACCGTGAAACATGGTACCTCTGTTTGTTTCCACATTAAACATCGGTGGCATGATGATTCACGAATTTTCCCTATTAACCATTACAGCATCCTGTAATAGGATAACATCATGACGTCGAAAAATTTGGGGTTGGCCCGGGTTAAATCCCTGAAATTTTAGACCAAAGGTGTCGCCGATCTAAAGATTTTCCCACGGTATCGAAAAAGGACCCCGCAATATTTAAACGAAAATTGATTACCCGTGATATTTCGATGAAATTTAAATTTGTTATTGGAAATGCCGTAAGCAAATTTTTTTACCATGGGAGTCACCTTGTATACATATATGACAGGTAAGGCGGTATCAGCTGTCAAATATTGGAATCTAATATTCAAAAGCAGGGTAACTATGGCAGATTTTGATGAAGCAAGTATCAATTCCCAATAAGTCAACCAAGGAAAATCGAAATATGTCAACCATTTTGACATCTGTCAAAACTCTGCCAAACGGCAGCACTCAGATTTTTCAATTTTCAATATTTCATGTTGTGTCATTTAACAGTTTCAACCTATGTAAATTCTTAGTTCAGAAATTGAAAAAAGAAAATTACAGTAATGTCGAAACTTGTCATTTGTTTTAGTAACAAAAAAAAATCCAATTTGACCCTTTTTTGTTTGAAGGTAGTTTATTGGTGATAAATCATTGAACAAAACTCATGGACATCAAATTTTGACATCTGTCAGAATCTGACATTAGCTTTAACTGAAGAAAAAAAAACTAAATTCTAGTTCTGTTCCAATTATTTAAAAACTTATTCACAGGTTTCAGATTTTGACAGCTATCAAAATTTGATGTCTATGAGCTTTGCTTAATGTTTCATTATCAATAAACTACCTTAAAACAAAAAAGAACCAGACATGAATCTTTTTTACTACTTAAATGAATGACAGGTTTTGACAGTTCTGTCATTTTTTTTCAAGCTTTCAACTCAAAATTGACATAGACTAAAACTGTTAAATGACACATCATGAAATATTGAAAACTGAAAAATATGAGTGCTGCTGTTTGGCAGGGTTTTGACAGATGTCAAAATGGTTGATATTTTTCGATTTATCTTGTTCGACTTAGTAGGACTCTATACTCACTTCATCAAAATATGTCATAGTTACCCTGCTTTTGAATATGAAATTTCAATATTTGACAGGCGATACCGCCTCACCTATCATATATACAAGGTTGCGCCCATGGTAAAAAATGTTGTTTACGGCATTTTTAATAACATATTTAAATTTCATTCAAATATCACAGGTAACCAATTTGCGTCTAAATATTGCAGGGTCCTTTTCAAAATCCTGACATGGTCATGAACAATTGCCCATATCTTTGGTAAATTTTGAGTAAATTGAAGGAAATTATATACCCTTGGAAAAAGCATTAAATTCTCTATAAATCCGTGTAAAATTGAGTTTGATAGCTCAAATAGTTTTTGAGCAATTGAGCCTCTAAGTTGCCTTTCAGTCCAAATTTTGTCAAAAACCTCAAATTCAATTTGCTCAAAAACTATAAATCTGGGAATATTGTAAATCACAGGCCATTTAGAGTTTAATAAGAGCTACAAATGCTGAAAGTTTTAATGCAACTTGCTCAACGGTTACTGAGCAATTGAGGTTTGAATATTTTGAAATCAGAATTCAAAATTACGTAATACGTAAAAGGGTTTATTGTATTGTACAACTGGCGAGAGAGAAAGGGAGGTACGGAGAAAAGTGAGATGGAAGAGTACTGGTGCAGCGGGAGAGCGGGCTGTCGCGGCTAGAAGAAAATAATTTTTTATATGAGAACAGTTATAAATTACTATTTTCTACGTTTATGCAATATTCTCAATTTTTGAATATACTGCCCTTTTGCCCGTTCTGATTCTACATTACCTTGGAATTTTAAATTAACATAATAAAACCTTCATTCTGTGCAAGTTTCAAGTTTCAGCTTTTAACCCCGACGCGCCCAGAAAACTCATTTTTAGAAGGCTTTAACTGCGTTGGGTACTCTACTATAACAAGGTAGGTATTTAATCTAATCTGGAATTTTGCACAAGATTTCCAAACACAAAACTAGCTAAAACAACTTTAGAAATGAACCTAAAGACAAAGTAGTATTTACAATGTTGAACAACTGAAATGTGTTACAAGATATCAGAAAGAGGCATCAGCTTTGGTATTCTGAATCTGGATGTGGTATAAAAGTGACACAAGATGCTGAAAAATCAGTTGAGACTCTCTATAACATACATTAGGAATGGCCTGCCCAATCGCCAGACCCAAATCCAATTGAATTTAAAACAGAAATGTGCGCAGTTTAGACAGAATACAAATTGATTCACTAATTAGCAATATGCAATCATTAAACAATGAAAATTTATGCGTTGATTCCTAATCATTTTATTTGAAAAAAAAAACCAGCAGATTGCGGCTAAATTAAAAGCTAAAACGATTTGTTTACCGAGTCAATTTTCATGACCTGTATCTGTAATCTGCCAAGTCAAAATGTTAACAAAAATAGACAATTATCTGCTCGAACCGAATTAAAATCAGGCTTGTTTTTCTCGTGAGGCGTGAATAATGATTTTAATTAACAAATTGTTATTTTAAAAACAAATTTAACTTTTCACTTAATTTAAATAATAATTATTAATATGTATAATATTGAAAGTGGAACCTGTTTTCAGGCAAATATTAATAATTAAATTTTCACTATACATAGGAAGTTAAAAATGCTCAATAAGCGCCATATATATCGACACAAAAAGCCAGTTTAACGGTTTTTGTTATTAACAAATTAAAATCGATTTGAAGCCATCTGTCGTGTGGAAGAATTACAAACGTTTTGCTTTCTCATTCCAAGTAACAAATTAATCAAATTCTTCTGGTTAAGTTGTTTGTATTAAAAATCACAAACAGTAAAGCGGAGTCAAAAAACAATTAGAAAAAAAAAACAATGTAAAGCCACGATTGTCTACCTGTTGTGCCCCTTGGAAAGCGTGGTAATAACATGAGACATAGGTCATAATGGCACGCTCATCTGGCTTTGGGGTATTAATTAAATCTGTAAAAAAATTGTATCTAAAAAGTGTATAAATCAATAATCAAATTGGCACAATAATATCCTTGTAAACCTGGTGTAGCATAACAAATTCATACTCTACATTAAAATTCAATTTCATTGAAAGTAAAGGTATACGGTCTTATTCAGTCAACCTTGTGACAATGTTGCCGAGTTGTTGTAGAAGTACTTACCGTCAGGATCTAACATCCTTGGAATGTCCAAATATTTTTCAGCTACATCGAAGGCAGTGTTCAAGTTTTCTAGGGGATTATCTTTGCTTAGTTTGCTGTAGTCGATCAGATCGGGGCGATGTCTGTGGATCAGAGCGCAGAAGGCCAAACCATCCTTGAAAAAGTCAATTTTATAAATAATGTCTGATTAACTAAATTCAGTTATTATTACCTTGAACGAGAGATGGAAATTTTGTACGTTGACGTTTTTGTAGGGGGCCGTTTTCCTTTGACACCACAACAGTAGACCTTCTTTCGCTGTCATTTCTTCTACGGAAATGTCCTGGATGGCGAACCGTAGAATTATAGTCCAGATCATACCGAGGGTCATTTTGAGATTTCCATCTACGATTTCTGAGGAAAAAAAACATCATATTATAGTTTCCACCTACTTCAGAACTGGAACTTATTATCAAAGATAATTAGGCAACTGAATATAGCAGAATATTTCGACTTTTCCTATGAAATTGAGTGATTCTCTACTATCAAATCTTACTGATTTAGAACGGTTTGAAGCTTGTGAAGAAATTCAGTATGTAGGTATAGGTACTTTTTCTAAAGTTTTTGTAAATGTACATACTTAATAATTCCTCAAGAACATGCATCAAATTCTTCACACTAAATTGCTTTTTGTAAAGATTCTAATAGTAATTATTTAGGATCTTCTTCTAAAATTGGCTCTTTTACTTCTGGGGTTATGATTATCCAAACTTTTTTTCTTTATTTAGTTTCTTAAGGTCAGTTGATGTTTTTTCTAGTTTGTGATAGTAATTTCTCAGACTGTTTGATAGAATAGTTCTACTGAAGTTTCTAGTCAAGATGTTTCTGAAAAATACTTTGAGCCATCATAACAACTTCAATCTTTCAGGATTTATTAATTGACGATTTTCCATCATCTAAAACAAGCCGGAAATTGACATGAAACTTACAACTGAAGTTATGAAATTTATCTCTCATTGAGGTTTGAAAAAAGCATGAAATTCCTGTAAAATCACATATGAGGGTTCCTGAAAAATACTTTGGACCATCATAGCAAACTTCAAACTTTCAGTATTTGTGAATTGATGGTTTTTCATCACCCAAAACAAGCCGAAAGTTGAAATGAAACTCACAAGTAAAGTTATGAATTTTTTGTTGTTTGCTCATTGATGTTTAAAAAAATCATAAAACTCTGATAAAATCACATATCAGGGATCCTGAAAAATACTTTCAGCAGTAATAGCTACTTGAAACTTTCAGGTTTTATCAATTGATGGCTATTCATCATCGATAATAAATTTGAGCTTGATATGAAATTCATAACTGAAATTATGAATTTTCCCTCTCATTGATGTTTGAAAAAGTCATAAAATTCCTAAAAAATCACCTATGATGAGGGTTCCTGAAAAATACTTAAGCCATCACAGTGACTTGTAACTTTCAGAATTCGTCAATTAGAGTTTTTACATCATCCAAAACAAGTTGGAAATTGTTATAATATTTTCAACTGCAGTTCCGATTTTTTTCTCTCATTGATGTTCAAAAAAATCATTAAATTTTTGTAAAATCACTTCTGAAGGTTCCTGAAAAATACTTCAAGTAGTCATAGCGATTTCAAACTTTCAAGATTCATTTACTGAAGTTTTTTTATTGTCCAAAACAAGCTGGAAGTTGATATGAAATTCACAACTAAAGTTACGAAGTTTTTCTCTCATTGATGTTCAAAAAAGTCATAAAATTCCTGTAAAATCGCTTATGAGGGTTGCTGAAAAGTACTTTGAGCCATCATAACAACTTGAAACTTTCAGGATTTGTTAATTGATGGTTTTTCATCGCCTAAAACAAACCGGAAATTAATATGAAATTCTCAACTGAAGTTATGAATTTTATCTCTCATTGATGTACCTATGCAAAGGTCACAAAGTTATCATAAAATCAACTATAAAGGTTCCTGAAAAATATTTTAAACCATCATAGCGATTTGAAACTTTCAGGATTTATTGATTGATAGTTTTTTCATCACCCAAGACAAACCAGAAGTTGATATGAAACTCATAATTAATATTATGAATTTTTTCTCTCATTGATGTTTGAAAAAGTCATAAAATTCCTGTAAAATCACCTATAAAGGTTTCTGGAAAATACTTTGAACCATCATAACGACTTTAAACTTTCAGGATTTATCAATTGAAGGTTTTTCATCATTCAAAACAAGCCAAAAGTTGGTATGAAACTTACAACTGAAGTTATGAATTTTTTGTCATTGAGATTTGAAAAAGACATAAAATTCTTGTAAAATCACCTATGAGGGTTCCTGAAAAATCCTTCGAACCCTCATAGCGACTTCAAACTTTCAATACTTGGCAATTGACGGTTTTTCATCGTCCAAAACAAGCCATAAGTTGATATGACACTCACAACTAAAATTATGAATTTTATCTCTCATTGATGTTAAAAAAAGTTTCGAAATTATCATAAAATCAACTTTGAGGGTTTCTGAAAAATACTTTGAGCCATCATAACATCTTGAAACTTTCAGGATTTGTTAACTGATGGTTTTTCATCGCCCAAAACAAGCCGGAAGTTAATATGAAATTCTCAACTGAAGTTATGAAGTATATCACTCATTGATGTATGCAAAGGTCGCAAAATTATCATAAAATCAACTATGAAGGTTCCTGAAAAATACTTTAAGCCATCACAGTGACTTGAAACTTTCAGGATTTATTAATTGAAGCTTTCGCATTGTTCAAAACAATCCGGAAGTTGATATGAAACTCACATATATAACTACAAATTCTATCTAAAAAAGTCAAAAAATTCTCATAAAATTCACTATAAGGGTTTCTGGAAAATACTGTAAGCGACTCAATATACTGAAGTTGACATCGCGGTCACTCAATAGCCAGAAATAGGCAAAACTTATGAAGTCAACATTTTATAGCTCAGAAACTACAAATTCAAACTAACTGACTTTATTATATAGAAAGACGATCCAAGAATCAAAAATGAGCAAATTTTGAACATAAAATTCAATGTAAGAGACTCAGAAATAACTGTTGAATCAATATTTTAAGTGACATAGAGGTTACTCAAGAGCCATCAGGAATAGACAAAATTTGAAATCAACAAACCTCAAACTAACTGACTGTATTGTGTAGCAAGGCAATTCAAGAGCCTGGAATAGGCAAATTTTGAACTTAAATTTCAATGTAAGGGACTCAGAAATAACTCTAAGTTAATACATTGACTTTAAGATCGAGATTACTGAAGAGCCAGGAATAGACAAAACTTGAAGTCAACATTTTATAGCTCAGAAACTAAAATCTCAAACTAATTAGCTATATTGTGTATAGCAAGACGATTCAAGAGCCTGGAATAGGCAAATTCTGAACTTAAACTTCAATGTAAGAGACTCAGAAATAACGCTAAATCAATGTATTGACTTTGACATCAACAAATAAATAATTCTTCTGGCTCTTGATAGTATAGCCCTTTTCGGTCGATGCTAAAGACTACATAGAAAGTTTCTGGAAATGATTGAATATTTTGTTCAAAACATAATCAGCGAAGAAATATTATTTTGTGTCTGGAATGATGTCACTCAGTGAGTCTTTAGAGTTTCCAAATTTCAACATTAGAGTCATCATTGTCTCTTTAAATGTTGAACCAAGGATTTTGACTCAAAGGTCAATAATTATGAGTCACTTCAAAATTTCTCACTTGAATTTTCATAGTTCTCATTAACATGAAGTATCGAATCTTGAAAGTATCCAAAATCATTACCCAAAGTCTTCATTGGTGTCTCTAAAATATTGTGTAGCAAGGTGATTCAAGAGCCGGTAATAGGCAAATTTTGAACTTGTACTTCAATGTAAGGGACTCAGAAATAACTCCAAATCAATATATTGACTTTGAAGTCAACAGTTCAAAGCTCAGAAACTAAAAACAATCTAACTTATTGCCTTGTGTAGCCAGCCAATTCAAGAGCTGGGAATAGGAAAATTTCGAACTTAAACTTCAAATGTAATGGATTCAGAAATCACTCTGAATCAATAATATATCGACTTTGACATCAAAGTTAACTCATTTGGCTCTTGAGTAACCTTTTTCGGTCAATGCTGAAGATAACAAGAAACCCCAATAAAATATTTTTAGTAGTAATTTCATAGCTACATAGAAAATATTTGGATATTATTGAATATTTTGTTCAAAACAGTCAGCCAAGGATTTATTTTGTGTCTAGAATAGTGTGACTCAGTATTGAGTCTTTGGAGTTTCCAGATTTTAAAGTTGGAGTCATTATTGTCTCTTTCGCTGTTGAACCAAGCATTTTGACTCAAAGGTCAATAATTGTGAGTCACTTCAAAATTTCTCACTTGATTTTTCATAGTTCTCATTAATTTGAAGCATCGAATCTTGAAAGTATCCAAAATCATTACCCAAAGTCTTCATTGGTGTCTCCAAAATATTGTGTAGCAAGGTGATTCAAGAGCCGGTAATAGGCAAATTTTGAACTTGTACTTCAATATAAGGGACTCAGAAATAACTCCAAATCAATATATTGACTTTGAAGTCAACAGTTCAAAGCTCAGAAACTAAAAACTCAATCTAACTTATTGCATTGTGTAGCCAGCCAATTCAAGAGCTGGGAATAGGAAAATTTCGAACTTAAACTTCAAATGTAATGGATTCAGAAATCACTCTGAATCAATAATATATCGACTTTGACATCAAAGTTAACTTATTTGGCTCTTGAGTAACCTTTTTCGGTCAATGCTGAAGATAACAAGAAACCCCAATAAAATATTTTTAGTAGTAATTTCATAGCTACATAGAAAATATTTGGATATTATTGAATATTTTGTTCAAAACATAGTCAGCCAAGGATTTATTTTGTGTCTAGAATAGTGTGACTCAGTATTGAGTCTTTGGAGTTTCCAGATTTTAAAATTGGAGTCATTATTGTCTCTTTCGCTGTTGAACCAAGGATTTTGACTCAAAGGTCAATAATTGTGAGTCACTTCAAAATTTCTCACTTGAATTTTCATAGTTCTCATTAACATGAAGTATCGAATCTTGAAAGTATCCAAAATCATTACCCAAAGTCTTCATTGGTGTCTCTAAAATATTGTGTAGCAAGGTGATTCAAGAGCCGGTAATAGGCAAATTTTGAACTTGTACTTCAATATAAGGGACTCAGAAATAACTCCAAATCAATATATTGACTTTGACATCAAAAGCTATCAATTTACAAAACTTGAAGTCAACAGTTCAAAGCTCAGAAACTAAAAACTCAATCTAACTGATTGCATTGTGTAGCTAGCCAATTGAAGAGCCAGGAATAGGAAAATTTTGAACTTAAACTTCAATGTAGGGTACTCAGAAATAATTCTTAATCAATATATTGACTTTGACATCGAGATTACTCAAGAGCCAGGAATAGACAAAACTTGAAGTCAATATTTTATAACTCAGAAACTACAAACTCTAACCAATTGATTTATGTAGCAAGCCGATTCAAGAGCCGGGAATAGGAAAATTTTGAACTTAAATTTAATTCAATGGACTCAGAAATAACTCTGAATCAATATATCGACTTTGACATCAATACATCGACTTTGACATCAGAGTTAACTGTTTTGGCTCCTCTTGTGTAACCTTTTTCGGTCGATACTAAAGATAACAGGGAACTACTACTAAAGTATTTTCAGTAGTAATTTCTTATCAACATAGAAAGTTTGAATTTGTCTTTGGAGTTTTCAGATTTCCACATCATTATCTCTTTCGATCTTGAACCAAAGGTCAACTGTGAGTCACTCCAAAATTTCCTCATTTGATTTTTCACAGTTCTCTTCAACATGAAGTATCAAATATTCAAAGTTTTCAAAATCATTATCCAGAGTCTTGAATGGAGTCTCCAAAATATTGGGTAGTAAGGCGATTCAAGAGCCGGTAATAGGCACAAGGGTGACTCAGAAATAATTCTGACACAATAAATTTGGAAATATTGACTCAAAAATAGATAAAACTTAAAATCAACATTGTATAGCTCAAAAACTACCTACCTTCTGCACCAATAGACACAAGTTTCACTCCTTTGCTGGCGATAAAGTCCAGGGCCTTGTTGACGTTGGCGATTTTGTGGAAACGCATTTTGCCTCGGTCAGGTCTTGGCAGAGTTTCTCCCGAAATCACTTCAAGTAGCAGCATCAGTTTGAGGCCGTTTCTAAAGTCTTCTTCGATGTTATCGATGCCAGTGCTGGCTTTCCTTAGGTGACTGTTACACCATGCCGTGAATGTCTAGAAAAAAGTGAAGATATTTTTATTCATATTCATTCAAGAAGTTATACAAAATTGAAGGAAGTGTGTACAAATACGTGGATTGTTGCGGAACTCGCTGCGCTCGTCCCGCAGCCATCCACTCACCAATATACTGTTGAACTGTTCAAATAAGACATTCACCTGAAACGTGTAGTTTTTGAACTAATGAGGAAAGTTCACAACTGAGTGATTGTACTTGAACAACATATTGGTGAATAGATGGCTGAGTCCACCCATAAGTTCCGCAACAATCCACTCGTTTGTACTTGGATAACTAATCACAATATATTATTACTAGATTGGTAAAGTAACATTCCTGTTAAAAGGCTAATTGACAAAAAGTGGCTAATCTTACAAATTCTGACTTTATATAATAAGTTATTGTTCAAGTACAAATAAGTGGATTGTTGCGGTACTTATAGATGGACCACTGCCATCTACTCACCAATATACTATTGAACTGTTCAGATAAGACATTCACCTGAAACGTGTAGTTTTTAAACTAATGAGAATAACTGACATTTTAGTGAGTCAGGTGAGTACCGTAATTAAACAACATATTGATAAATAGATGGCTGCGGAACTCGCTGCGCTCGTCCCGCAGAGGTCCACCTATAAGTTCCACAACAATTCACTCATTTGTACTTGAATAACTTGTCACATTATGTTACTAGTTTGGTAAAGAAATAACATTACTAATTCCTGTTGAAAGGCAAATTGACAAAAAGTGAATAAGTAATCATAATCTTTATATAATAGGTTATTGTTCAAGTACAAATAAGTGGATTATTGCGGAACTTATGGGTGGACCTCTGCGGGACGAGCGCAGCGAGTTCCGCAGCCATCTACTTACCAATATACTGTTGAACTGTTCAAATAAGACACTCACCTGAAACGTGTAGTTTTTAAACTAATGAGAATAACTGATATTTGAGTGAGTCAGGTGAGTATCGTAATTAAACAACATATTGATGAATAAATGGCTGCGGAACTCGCTGCGCTCGTCCCAAAGAGGTCCACCTATAGATTTCGCAACAATTCACTCATTTGTACTTGAATAACTTGTCACATTATGTTACTAGTTTGGTAAAGTAACATTACTAATTCCTGTTGAAAGGCAAATTGACAAAAAATGAATAATCATAATCTTACAAATTTTGACTTTATATAATAAGTTATTGTTCAAGTACAAATAAGTGGATTATTGCGGAAGATATGGGTGGACCTCTGCGGGACGAGCGCAGCGAGTTCCGCAGCCATCTACTTACCAATATACTATTGAACTGTTCAAGTAAGACATTCATCTGAAACGTGTAGTTTTTAAACTAATGAGAATAACTGATATTTGAGTGAGTCAGGTTAGTATCGTACTTAAACAAGGTATTAATGAATAGATGACAAGTTATTCAAGTATAAACGAGTGGATTGTTGCGAAACTTATGGGTGGACCTCTGCGGGACGAGCGCAGCGAGTTCCGCAACTATCTATTCATCAATATTTTGTTTAATTACGATACTAACCTGACTCACTCAAATATCAGTTATTCTCATTAGTTTAAAAACTACACGTTTCAAGTGAATGTCTTACTTGAACAGTTCAATAGTATATTGATGAGTAGATGGCTGCGGAACTCGCTGCGTTCGTCCCGCAGAGGTCCACCCATAAGTTCCGCAACAATCCACTCGTTTGTACTTGAATAACTTGTCACATTATATAACTAGTTTGGTAAAGTAACAGTACTAATTCCTGTTAAAAAGCAAATTGACAAAAACTGGATAATCTTACAAATTCTGACTTTATATAATAAGTTATTGTTCAAGTACTGGGTGTTTTTTATACATTGACACCTCACCTACAGTCTTCACCTTTACAAGTAGATGAAAGGTGTAAATACAAAAGTTGTACAGTAGATATTGGCTAAATTTTTAGAATCCATGGTCAGAAACAAAAATTGAATGTCAGAAATGTGAAATGTTGCATGCTTTCACCTTTTTTCGAATGGGATGACTTATATTTGGTTCTATATTCATGAAGAGCACAATTTCCCGATTCCAAAACTATATAGTTTGTCTATATTTGATTGAGCCGTCTCCAACATTTTGACTCTAAAAATTTTAAAAATACTATCAGAGAAAGCAAGTACCTTAAATTTTATCTGCAGCTTTCATCTGTACAGGTAGAATGGTTCACAAAATCAGTAATCAGTATAAAATCCAGTATAATTTTTAAAACCGAATATATGAGAGACTGTTCAATCAAATATAGACAAACTATATATTTTTGGAATCGAGGCATTGTGCTCTTCAAGAATATAGAATAAAATATAGGGCTTGCCATTTGGAAACAAAATTTCACATTTCTGACATTCAAATTTTGTTTCTGACCATGGTTTCTAAAATTTCAGCCAAAACTGTACAACTTTCTTCTACCTGTAAAGGTAAAGGCTGTAGCTGGGATGCCAATATATAAAAAAAAAAACACCCTATGTACAAATATTTTTTTTATTATATAACAAAATCCTTGGACTTCTGGAATCAAATTATTTTAATAAAATTTCCTTATATGAAAACAACTTAGTTTTTTTATTTTTCATATAAATTTCAAAAGGTCAATTGCGTATTTCCTGGTAAAAAAGCGCGTAACTTTATACCTTTTATTTACTCCTTTTCAAGATTCATGAGAACTATGAATGCAAATACGAGATATGTGACATGATAAAACGTGAGCCTAAGCAAAAAATTACAAAAGCATGACGGTCTAGAACGGTAAAATAGAAGGAAACACAATACGTTTTTTGTTTGTTTCAAATCCCTGTGACAATTTGCAACGTGTCGTAATGTAAGACTAAGGTCTCTTTTACATGATCAAATTTTATGAATGTCGGTTCAATAGCGCCTCCTCTGAAATCGTTTACGTAAGATTTTTCAGTAATTATTAGCTGGTAAAACAGCTACATTATTAAATGGGTGATTTTATTTTTAAATAATCTAAAATTAGGATGTGTGCATTCTACTGAAAAGACAGGCTACGATTATTTTTAAGTTGAAGGACACAACACCGATGATGCCCACACTAAATACAACGACCAATAAATCTCATTAGAATTTTTTGGATTTTTCTAAGATTTTTCTCAATTAGAACGTCATAATATCTTCTGAGGAGGCTTTTTTCAGATTTTCTGGAAGATTTTCTGAATTATGAAACAATTATTTGTAGATTGTGAAGCCTAGAATCTTTACAAATAAAGTCTAGACATATAAAGAATTTGTAACCTTTCATCATCAATTAAAGCTCTCAAGATTTTCATTCATTGATTCAAGTGATTACCCTAAGGATATATTTACTATTAAGCGAAATGAATTCTAGTTTGCCAGGCTCCAATTGAAAATCGTAAAAATAGATTGAGTGTAGTATCGTCATAGCATTATCTATAAAAAGATTTTTAAAGAAAATCCACACCCAACTCTACTAATTCCAGTTGTCGTCATGAAAAATACAATATTTTTGCCAGGTTTTCAACGTCAATTATTATCGCACATTTTTACATAAGCGAGATTATACAAATAAGATTTTCAATGGAAGCTGAAATTAGAATTCCGCTCACGCACTTTTGCTACTAGAAAATTGACCCACAAGTTGGAATATTTAAAATGTGTTTTATTTATAGTCGCTATGTATTTCAAAAGGAATTCATGTGTCAGTATTAAAAATCTGATCGATAGCCAAATCGTTATTAAACTCTGATCAAAGTTATAATTTGAATCATTAAATTCCTGCTGAAAAATCATATGTAAGGATTCCTAAAAATACTATCAGTCATCATAGGGAGTTGAAACTTTTAGGATTTATCAATTGAGGTTTTTTCATTGTCTAAAATAAGTTGGAAGTTGATATAAAGTTCGCAACTAGAATCCCTGTGAAATCACTTATGAGAGTTGCTGAAAAATGCTTTAAGCCATCACAGCGACTTGAAACTTTTAGGATTTATTAATTGGAGTCTTTCCATCATCTAAAACAAGCCGTAAGTTGATATGAAACTCACAACTAAAGTTACAATTTTGTTCTCTCATTGATGTTTGAAATAGTCATAAAATGCTCCTTAAATCACACATAAGGGTTCCTGAAAAATACTTCTATAAATGCAAAAGAGCTGAAATTTTCAGGGATTGTAGTCCTTGGAAAGAGATAAAATTCAGTGGAAGTTTCAGCTTTCTATCTATAATAGAAAAAAAGTTATGACCTTTCAAAGTTTTCCAAAATCTAAATCATAAGGTAATAACCTTCTTACTAAAACGATGAAATTTCAAATTTTTTTTTGTCGAGATTTTGTATCCTAATGGTCAATCAATATACCCCAAACTTCATACACTAAATTATTCTCAGATTTTAAGCCGAAATCTATGAAAAAAGGCACTCAGAAAAATTAAAAAAATTGATAAATCACTCCAAATTGCTTAGTGTAAAATCACCTATGAGGGTTCCTGAAAAATACTTTGGGTCATCACAACGAATTGAAACTTTCAGAATTTATTAATTGGAGTCTTTTCATCATTTGAAACAATCCGGAAGTTGATATAGGACTCACAATGAAAGTTATGACTTTTTACTCTCATTAATGATTAAAATGTTCATAAATCTCCTGTGAAATCACCTATGAGGGTTCCTGAAAAATACTTCAATACCATCACAGCGAATTGAAACTTTCAGAATCTGTAAATTGGAGTTTTTTTATTATCCAAAACAAACCAGAAGTTGATACGAAACTCACAACTGAAGTTACGAATTTTTTTTCTCATCAATGTTTGAAAAAGTCATAAATTTCCTGTGAAATCACCTATTAGGCTTCCTGAAAAATACTTCAAGCTAACAAACCGGAAGTTAATATGAAACTCACAACTAAAATAACTAGAATATTTTTCCACAGTGCCATAGCCTGTCCCTATTCTTCGTTACTTATGTCATACTCAGAATTAGAATCA